TGGACTTGACTAATAGCGCTTGAATGTGTGTTTAACTTATATATTCTGTGAGCCTTGAGCGATGACAAGGCTCTTACAAGGACTGAATTATTAAACCTATTCAAGAACCTGCCAGGAGCCCCCTTATCATGTGCGGTGTAACATCTATGCCTTCTCATATGTGTTAGATTTGTTATGCAGTGTGGCTTCATAAAGTATTTATCACAGCTTTATAAGACTCCAAATTTTTTTTTTTTTTTTTTAGAGCTGGGTATAAGCCTTGCAGCATTTTAACTTCTGCCAGGACGGATCAGTTAATACGAACCTCCGCATCTCCTCTTGAAATAAATACCACAACGCAAAACCAGAGGAATTTCTTGGCCTCTCTGAACTCTAATCCCTGATCGAAACAGAAACGACTGAAACGTAACGTTCATTTGGCTTCTTGCAACTGCAGAGTTCCTCAGCACACAGATGTGATTATTCACAGCTGGATTTTACTTACTCGGTTATAAGCTTTGCATATACTACCTCGAGCATGTAATGCTTCAGGTTGATATACAGTGTAACATTAGATAGTTTACAGCGCTGCGCTGTGTCAAGGTTGGCTGTGGCTGGGGGCACAAGCAGGAGGTGGGGGGGACTGTGGTGGTCAGCGTTGGGTCAGAAAGACCGTCGCAGCTCCGGGCTGGCGGGAAGCCAGCCTCTGTACGTGTCTGCTCTGAATGTTAATGGATTAACGCTTGCCACACATACAGCCATGCTGGGGGAAACTCAAGATGACTTTTAACGTGAAGGGCCGCCAATAAGTCGCCATCATAAATTCAGGGACACAAGCTGTCTGTACCAGCATGGCAGTCGGTTGTGTTTCCTCCAGGCTGAGGGGCTGTGTGATGGGGGAGCAGGTGGGCTGACCTTGCCTCACCCAGCCTCAAAATCTGATCAGAGTATGCTGGCTGCAATGGCCTTGCTGAATAAGATATTCAGCAGGCATGCCGTTTTCCTTAGAAGCTAGCTTCCTGGTTATGTTTGTACACAGTGTTTAAACCCAGACCCTGCAGATTTAGCATTCTCTAACACAATAGGCAGCCATTCTCTGACAAAATGTTTCTCTTAATAGCTTTAAACAGCCAACTTAGGCTTGTCTAATGCGAGTTTCCACATGGCAAAGTGAGCAGTCGGTTTAATACTTAGATGCCGTGCAGTGACAGTCCCAGTTGCTCTGTGTAATTTAACAGCAGGGGGACAATGAGCTAATCTTGCAGAAGAACTTGCGTTTACCAATTTAAAATCAATAAAGATGCATTGTTTTTTTAACTTGAGCCGTGCTGTAAATAAGAGCTTGGTTCAAAGAGCACTTCATTGGGGGGGTCATTTTAAAGCCATTGATACATTCGACTGCAAAGTTTCACATGCATTTTGACACTAATGTATCCATTTTTTCTTAATCATTTTGTTGTTGCACTGCAAGCAATTAGGTATATTTATGTCAGTGGATGATTTCTAGCCATGTATTGATGAAGTGAACCGTAAGAAATCATTAGCTGCGTGGTTTGAAATAGTTGAAAGCAAAACAAGTGGCACAGGATGGTGGGAGGGAAAAAGTTATGGTGTTGGAATTTGTAATCCAATTATCCTATTCTAGAAAATAAAACAGTGCGCTGTGTTTTCCTATGATTTTCTGTCTCTATCCGCCACAGAGTTTGCTTAATGTCCTCAATCTTTTCTTGCTCGCTCTTCAGTGCAAATTAATTTATGGTCTAATTACAAGACAAGCCTGCAGATATGAAGGAACACAAATCACTGGTCCTTACCAGATGGCAGAAAAACGGCACAGGATAATTGAAAATCTAGAAGTGGATCAATATTTAGAAGCCCAAGGTTACATGAAGTGTGACACTACTTTTAACATGGAAATATGATGCATTACATCCGCAGGCTAATTGGCTTTTGTTTTTTTGGTACTGAATGAGTGAAAAGCGTCTTGCCCTGGTTTCTCAATACAGTAGCAATCATTTTAAGCAATCACATATCTTCTTCTTGCAACCCTAATTAAGCAGAAATGTACTGGCTTAGTTTTATATGTATACCTGCAGCAATGTTCACTCGCTTGCTCTGTTGGTCAGTAGTAGGTCTCAGGGTTTCCTTTATGACACAATGTTCCATGAAAGCTCCAAGCCCCACCATGTCACAGACCATCTCTGGCCCACCCAACCCCTCTCTCCAGCATTTACCTCTGGCCTGTTAAAAATGATATCAGTGCATGGAGGGCAAGCATTAGCATTTGCATTTTATTGGAAGCACAGAGATTTAGAGCAGAGGATATATCAGCTCTGAGCAGACAGAATTAGTTAACAATGCATTACCTGCCTTTTATGGCAGCTATAACTCTTACCCCCTGGTGGGGAGAGGAGATGAAGGGAGGGGTGTGGAGGAGGAGGAGGAAGAGGGTGGTGAAGGGGAAACGCAGTCAGAAGAAGGTTGGTAGAAGGGAAGGGGGCATTTAGAACGTATAGGTTTTGTCTGTGGTGCTTCACTGCACATTAAGTGTGATAGCCACGCAAATTAGAGCATCACTTTGCAATCACCTTCATACAGATCAGTGCTCAGTGCAGAGGGATGATCAGACAGCTGACGGACATTTTTATCTAAATGCAACAAGGTAAGGAGACACAGCTGTTGGACAGCTGTGCTCACGATACCAGAAAAAAGAAATCCCACATTTTCTAGTTTTGTTTTCAGCGCACTGTCATGAGTTGGGATCATCAGTATGCGAGCACCTTTGTATCCCTGAGCAAGCCGCAACTCTGATTAAACCCACTATGATAGTCCCTGTCCCTCACCACAGCTACAGTAGTTCCTACGGCACTCATTTATTCGAATGTGCTGCAAGACGACCCACCTCTGCTATGGGTTGTACCCTGTGGAACTCATTTGCACCAGGAGTTAGTGGTGGGGGAGTGTGTTTGAGGTGCAAAGAGCCTGTTGCGAATAAATAAATTTTTTTACAGCAACACATAATCGCCACCGAGACATGAAATACCACACTCTGCAAGACACAGATGGACAAAAAAAAAAGGAATAAAACATTCTGAATATTTAGTCATGTGTTAAGAATATCAGTTCGCTGCACAACTCAACCAGATTTTTCTATTCCCTTCACTCATGTTTTCTCCTATAATTGGCATGCTGAGATCTCTACATGCATGTTTACCATGCATGTCACTGGCAGGAATCCAATGAGCACCACAGAGGCTTTTCCTACCACACCTACTGGCCCTGGGTTTGTCAGCAGACAACTCCAGGCTCCATAAAACAGCCTGCTGCTCTCTGCCTTTGCCCAGCTTAATGGTCCCAGGGGCTGGATATTTACTCGTGACCTTTGCATTCCATTTGGAGCGTAAAAGCCTTTTTGCGAGGAAAATTCCATCGCTTTCGACATAGTCACTGTGCAGATCAGAAGATACCATAAAAAGAGAAAAAAAAAAAAAAGTGGTAAAAACAAAACTTGTCACGGTTTCTGTGATCTTGTATTAGACATAAATGGAATTGATGTTTAAATACAAATGTGTATGCAACCGTCTTAATTTGTTGACATAGTAAAGCCATTTGGGGTTTATATATCAAAGTCTAGGTTCTAAAAATTATGAAATGACAAGTTTTTTTTTTTTTAAAGAAATCAAGCAATTTCACTTACAGGTATTTTTGCAGTTTATTGCCTCATTGCCTTTAAGCTGACTGTGCATGAACCAAACGACTGTTGCACATTCAACCTTTGCCTTAAGACTCACCATCTTTCTACTTCATTTTGAGCCTTAACAGCTCAAATAAAAACGAGTTACAGCTCATTTTTAATGTGCAAATTTAAACACAGCTTGTGGAGCTCCAGCTGACTTCAGTAACATAAAATGCAGCTTTGGTGTTTTAAAGCATGCTTCACACACATTCAAATTCAGCTGGAAAACAACTTCAGGCTTTTAAACCTACTAGACTTCTACAAAAACAGAGGTGTTGAGGTGATATTAAGCAACAGCACCATCTGTTGGGTAGTGGGAGCTAGTGCTCTTCAAAAGAAATTACAGAAGTTCAAATATCTTAATTTAAAATGTCTTGAACTTTTTGGCCCAGAGCAACCAATACCATTTAGCAGTGATCTCAATTCGCAACGGGTTTAATATCCTTTACTAAAAAAAAAAAAAATACTTGTCTTTTCAAAACAAACAAAAAAATTGCTATTGTGCATAAACATATTTACTTTTCCTTATTCACGTATCTGAAAGAAAAAGCAAGACATCAACATTAACATTGAGTATGTTTATTAAAAGGGTGCTACAGTACATGTAACATCTCATCGACATAAGAAAAAAACTTTTTTAAAATTCTGCGGGAGCAGAAAGTTTTCAGTACAGAAAATAAAAATAAAAAAAAAAAAAAACCACAAAAATATCTACTAAACAATTCCAAAGAACTCGACATGTGGACTAGAGATGCATAAAATGGGAAATGGACATTTTGTTCAGAAAGTCAGAAGTCGGTCTGAATTTACTAGACGTCTGCCGAAAAATACCATAGCAGAGTACAGGAAACCCACCTCCTTTTTCTTTTTTAAAAGTGAAAAACACACTTTAATATCTAAAAACTGACTAAGCCAATGGGGGAAAAAAAAACAAGTCTCAAGGTGGGTGTTGTCAAGGTTGGTCAAAGTTCTACCTCATTTTTAACCACAAGGTGGCACCGACCCATTATAACCGTAAATATTGGTTTGTTTTTATGTGGACTGAAGATTGTCTAACCAGTGAAAATTATAAACTCAAAATAACATTCTGCTCAACAAAAAATGCAAAGTTGAGTAAAATGTGTTTTTATTTAACTCATGATACTGTAAAGAAATTTAAAATCACTACATTTATATAATGAAACGCATATTAAAAAAAATGAACACTAAGCAAAGAGGTTTAAATTGTAGTAATTATATCCTGGTAAAAATATGGAATAGGGAAAAAAGAAAATCTACAAGAAAAACGTAAAAAAAAGAAAAAAAAAAAAAGAGGATGCGATTATACAGACAGGAAAGTGTTTTAACAGTTACTTCCTGAACGTCAATACTACAGCCTTAACTTTGTTGTTTTTATAAAGACGTTGGGCATTAAAAACAACATTGAGACAAAATTCAGGCATTAAAAAGTATAACAGTTTGTACCACAAATATTATTTTAACACTTTCCTTACTGAGATAATTGTATCCCGTCGGCACTAAAACAGCATATTTAAAGAAAGCTCATGAATACAAAGAGAAAACAGTAGAAACGTTCCCCAGTAGCATATCACCCCATCACCCACATCCACTACAGCTTCTCCCATATGATGGATCCCTCTCAGCAGTTGGGGCCATTGTGCTCCAGGGGGACATGGATGGAAAAAAAATAAAACAAAAAAAAAAACAATAACCGCGTCTGCTGTCTGTGTCATCGCCGAATATGGTAAAAAGGTGAGGGACGGGAGTTTCGGTGTGGAAAAATGTCTGACTTAAGGTAGTCCCTGCAGTGGAGGTTTCCTCTGAAGGTGATACACTCACGCACTGACGGCATCCTTCTCCTTCTTGTCACCGTCTTCATGCCAGGTGAGACGCTCCTCATAGAAGGCTATGACGATCTGCGGGCACTTATGATTGGCCTCCTTGGCAAGCACGAGATCTGCCTCATCAGAGTCTTTCCTGTAAGACAAAGTTTGAATGTAGTCGTGTTGCACAATGGGGTGCAGAAAAAAATAGATTTTTAAAGAATCTAAAAATTCTTAGTCCTGGCGATTCTGAATCGATTCTAAAGGCCCATAAATCGATTTTAAAATGCGTTTTAAGTTCTTACTCCCCGCTCGGCCACCATACAATTTTGGCCGTGTAGGCCACCGTACAGCAAGCTAGTTAGCCAGCTCCCTTTATCTGAAAGGAGCCTGCTAGCATGGAGGACAGCGCGATTCAACCCGCTTCTTCGTCTTTAAAAATCATTTCAGATCCTACAGTGTTCCAGGGGAAGACACGGTTTAACAAGAGCACGGTTGTTTACAAGAAGTGTAAAATAAAATTGCGGGACAGTATTTTGGAAATACGACAAAATGCATGAAAGATGAAAGCGAAAGCAGCCGACCAGCGAACTCTGCAACAAACTTCTAGCCGATTCCCCACAGGCTGCGAAGATTTCCCTCTGCATCTCCTGCTAGATCACAAAGGATTTACGAGCAAACAGCTCAGTGGAAGGTGAGGGGTTTATTTTTAATACACCTGATCCAATGTACGTTATTTCTTCAAGTAGCTTTTTTTTTTGGCGATAAAGCAGCACCACAACTTCACCCTGAAACAACAAATGGGAGAAGCTCTGATGCAGCTGCAGCTCAAAGGGAACCGTTTCTTATATTATACTAAAACTTAGACAAGTTGTACAACAAACTTTAAGCAATTTGTCTTTTTAACAGGTTGAAGAGGACAAATGAGACATCGCCTGGAGCCAGTTCTAAATTATAAATGTATATGGTTTATAAATTACAGTTCAGAAGTTTTTGTGCAGGTTTGCACAGGTTTTGAATTTTTGTTAAATATTTACCAAATATGAATCAATATGGGCAGCACGGTGGCGCAACTGGTAGAGCTGCTGCCTCTCAGCGAGCAGGTCCCTGGTTCAAACCCCAGTCCAGGGGCCTTTCTGGGTGGAGTTTGCATGTTCTGTCTGTGCGTGCGTGGGTTTTCTCCGGGTACTCCGGTTTCCTCCCACAGTCCAAAAACATGCATGTTAGGCTGATTGGTAACTCTAAATTGTCCCTAGGTGTGAATGAGAGAGTGAATGTTTGTTTGTCTCGTTTGTCTCTATGTGGCCCTGTGATGGACTTGCGACCCGTCCAGGGTGTACCCCGCCCCTCGCACAGTGATTGCTGGACATGGGCACCAGCGACCCCCGTGACCCAAAATGGAATAAACGGGTAAAGAAAATGGATGGATGGAATCAATATGGTTAAGACTGTGAAGTCTGTACATTTCATATTAGGTTAAGTTTTGAAAATATAACAAACGTTAGAGCAATATGGTAAAAAAACAAAAACAAAAAAAAACTGTGAAGTCTATTTTATTTTGAGTTAAAGGTTAATGTACTATGGTAGGCTGAAGTCTGTTAACTTTTGCATTTATATATTTTGAATTATTTGTCTGTGATGGACTGGAGACCTGTCCAGGTGTCCCCCACCTCTCACACAGTGATGGCTGGACATGGGCACCAGTGACACTCTTGATCCAAAAAGGAAGAAGTGGGTAAAGATAATGGATGGATGAATCATTTGTTCCTAGATTTTTTATTTATTTATTTATTTATTTAAATCCAGGCAGCTAAGCTAACCTAATACTAGTAATTTAAGTTACAGAATTTTTTGCACTCATAGTTTGTCCTATTTTTGGTATAAATATAAAACGATGCAAAAAGATTTGATACAGTAAAGAACCTAAAATTATTTTAAATAAATATTCTATTTGTTTACATTGTTGTTTAATCTTTTCAGCTCGTCAGTTACATAACTGAAACAAAATGTATGACCATTTCAATAGAAAAATCGATTTTGAATGGCATCGTGACACCAAAAATCGGAATCGAATCACCAGATACAGCGATTCGCACCACTATTGCACATCATTACCATTACACACAACGTTAAAAGACCTGAATGATAAATTTGCTTATGCATGCTTAATAATCCAGGAAGACAAATCTAACCAAGAAAAGTCAGGAGCTCTGGACGGATTCTTCTTATTGAAGCTTTTCATCTTGTAGCCAAAAGAGTCAGTCTGAGGAGCTGCAGTAAACTCAGTCTTACAAATAGCACCTTATCATAGTGGATCAACCAGTTTGTTGTTGACATCCAAAACTAGCTGTTCACATGCAAAAGGACCATCAGCTTAACAATTGGTTGTTGGTGAATAGCATACGGCCATCAGGACACTGAGGGCTGAGTGATACTAGCAATAACAGCATTGGAAGAGGGGGACAGTTGGACACGGAGGCCTCTGCCCCTGGTTAACAATGGACAGGTTCTCTCTGCAATGATGGCTTCCTTCACTCCTCTCAAACCAGTGTTCCTCTCCATCAAGGATGTGAACATCTTCATCCCTGAAAGAGTGACTGCTGGCCTGGAGATGAGTGTAGACCGCAAAGTCCTGGCCTGATGATGTTGATCTTCTGTGCTGGACCATCCTTTTGGCCAGTGGCTGTTAAGTTTCCCTGATGTAAGACTGATCACAGCCCTCCTGACACTGAACAGCAAACACAACATTACTCCGTTTGTGCCGGGGGACTGGATCTTTGGGATGAACCAATCTTTACTATAAAGTATTTTGGTAACATCACTCAGCCCCCTGTGAATAGCAAGCAGCCATCAGGACACCAACGACCAATTGTTAGGGTGATGGTCCTCCTTGATCACATGAACAGATAGTTCTGGTTGTCAACAACAAACTGGTTGATCCACTATGAGAAGGTGCTTTTTATGACAGTTTGCTGCAGCTCCTCAGACTGACCAAGTCTTTTGGATAAAAGACGAAACGGTTCAACAAGAAGAATCTGTCCAGAGGACACAATTTAACTTTGTTAGATAAGTGATGAATTAATTTACAGATTCCACTTATTATAAAGGATCTTGTTAGTGTTCCTTTTATTAGCTTTACATTTTTCCTTTTAAAGTTAAAGTAAATTAAAAATGTATAGCCACCTAACATTTTTTTTGCATTCCTACAGAAATTAGCATGCTTTACCATAAAATATTTACAAAATTTTGTTTTTTTCCCCAACTACAACCTCAACAATGAGACTTCAGCTACAAGTAATGATGTACTGCATGTATAAATTTAGATAACATGAAATTGTAGTTTCATGATGTAGCTCACTGTTTTAAGACTGGACAGCTATTATTATTATTATTATTATTATAGTACTGCTAATAAGTAATTTGCCAGTAGACAGGGCACAGTAAAGTGCAATTTTAAGGAGTCGTGCCATTCCATCTCAAAAGGTCAGAAAAACAGATTTTGCTACTTATACGTTGCAGCAGTTTCATGCAAATAAAATTTAATACCGTCTCAAAAGCTCAGAAAGACAGTGCCCACCAGTAAATCGTGTCATTAACCGTTTTCATTTGACAAGACTAAAGTTTTTTAAGCGTTGATTTATTTAAAATAAATTAAAACTAGTGGCGTTTCATATAGTTTAAAAAACAAAACAAATAAAATAATAAAAACTTACCACTTCATGAGGAACATTAGATCGCCACATGAATCGGTTGCTCCAATAATCTTCTCTGGCTCAAGGCCCCTCTCAAAACCACGTGCAACTAGAATTTCATCCTGAAACACACAACAATACCAAACTTGAAAAAGAGTTGCACATGTGATGTGGTAGACCGTGTTTTATGTAGGTAAATATCTGTTAGTTCACATGTACACCTCAGTTATTTAGATTGCTCATTTATGTTGCTGCTGAAAAATCAAGGTTTATTGCCAAACATTCACAAAGATCAGCTTTATTTTCCTCTTCTTCAAAAGTCAGCAACAGCCAAGGTTTGCAGAAGAGGAAGGCGTTCGTTAGTGAAATCAAATCAAGTTGAGTTTCCAGAACTGAAACATCAAAACAAATATTCAAAACACAACTTGCCCATTTCTAGGTTAAGTAAACTACTAGTATCTAGGTCTACCTTTGGAGCAATACACTTTTCCCCACCCTAAAATGATACACCAAATGCTATTTAACAATTTAATTAGGGCTGCGATAAAGCAGACCATTTCACTTGTATCATGCAGTTATGTTCTGCATGATGTTTATACATTTCTTCAATTCACTTAATGTACTTGATCCCCACATCTAATTTAGAATGAGATAAACTATTATGAGCTTTATCACAACTGACAGTCATCATAATAAATATAGCAGTCTCTGACACTATGCAGTCCTTATTTAATCTGCGACTTTGATCCAAAAGATGAGATCACAAGGACAAACAATAAAACACAAACAACTCCCCAGAGTGACGCATACAAAAACACGCACACCCATGTGATCAGTATCAACTTAAGTTTGAAATATAAACACAGCTGCAAACTACTTTACCTCTTTCTTCTTCTTGGGTTTACTGGCACCTTCCTCCTCGTCCTCATCATCCTCTTCTTCTGAGGCCCTCTTTTTTGAGCTGCTGGAGTCTTTGGAGCGTCCAGAGGGGCCTGTGCTTGATTTACTGGCCCCGCTGCTAGGTGTGGCACTCCCACCACTGCCCTTTTTGTAAGTCTTCATGAACTCTGAAATAAGCTCAGGGCAGTCCAGGTTCTTCTCCGGCTCCCATGTGTTGTGCTTCCTGGGGAGGATTACAGAACAGTTAGTAGGTCAATCCACTTCTCCCCCAAAATGATCATAAGTAGATGAATAATTGTAAGATTTACGTTAAATACGGTCTCCCTGGCCTACTGAGAGTATACAGATGTTTTCTGAGTGCTGCTTTGGACTTACTCAGAGTATCCTTTCCACTTGAGGTAGAACTCAACCCTGCCTTTCACCACCCTCCTGTCCAGCACCTTCTCCACGACGTATTCTTCCTCATCAGATGAGGATTCCTCTTCGCGAGACTTTTTGCCCATTGCAAAGTTAGGTGCTTAAACAAAGAGCTGTTAGGCCGAAGAGACTTCCCTGTCCGAGAGGAAAACACAAAGGCGAATGTTAAAAACACTGGTCCTTGAATTCTCACGAATATGCATTAAAGCCATTGTGCACAAACGTATATTTCTTTCAACCATATTTAAGCTTGAAGCAAACGCAAGCAATTCTGCGTGACTGAAGGGCAACTTTCACAACGTGGTGAGACGTATCAGCAAAGGCAACCGCTGCATCGTCGCTGATTTAGCACACACCAGGCTCGACATAGCAAAACATAAATAAAAAAGGTGTCATACTCATTTGCTTTTGGCTCTCAAAGTTCATAAAATGGTATTCTGTTAAGTTGCTTTAGCACAACGCACACAAAGCGAGCAGCGAAATGAGGAAAATGATGTTCTCCTCAGCTAACCCAGACTTGCTAACGCAGATAGCCGCTAGAAGCTAATGCGTGACTGGAAGTTCCGCCTTTAAATGTCAAAGTACAAATCTATACTAGCAGCAGCATGACTCACAGATGTAGGTAACCTGTTACTTACCCCGTGGACGTGTAAACGGCGGGTTTAAGGCGTTAACCGCTGCGATATGCCTCGTCTATTGTGGACCAGCAGCGAGGCCAGTGCAGAAGCGGCGTTAGCATGTAGCCTGTAACAGATAAAGGGGCTGTGCGCAAAAAGCGCGCGTTAAAAGGCGCACAATGAACGTACCGCCCCTCGACAGCTGATAAAACCACCATGTTTGTTTGGAAAAGATTACCGTGATTGTGTTACTATCTAAGTGTTTGCAGCAAGATTTGTGCAAAAATATTGGCATAATCTGTATATATGTGAAGCATAGAATAAACATGGGGGGGGAGCAAAAACATATACCCTATAGCGAAAATGTAGAAAAATACATAGAAATCGTGTAAATACGTTTTTTTTTCCCTGTTTGTATTTTACACTTATATATTTTGTTTAGCTACATTAACAATTTGTCTCTTGTGGTCCGACCTTTTTATTAATCATTTTACAACCAAATATAATCAGGATTGGAGTGGTACATCTGGTCCGTTTTTAATTGGACAGGGCGGACACACTATTAAAAAACAAAAGTAATACAAGTGTACAAGTGTTATAATGAACTATTTCGTATGCGTATTTTTACAGTGATTCATCCATATTAAACCATCATACTATGCTGAGGCTAAACGTAGTCACATGAATGAAAGTGAACATGCCGCCTGGTGATTGGTTGGTCACAGTGACTGACGGGAGTTTTAACCAATCAAAATGTAAGCAACGCTGACGACAGAGTGCGGCGGGATTTACTGACCAATTGCTGGAAGAAAAAGGCGTACCCTTTCCTACTTATTGAAGTGTTGAGCAGCATACCGCTCTTGCTTGGCGGACGCAGATTCTTGCTCTGAGGTCGGTGTAAAGGATTCTTCAAGAGTAAGGCGTTAAGATGTCAAAAGACGTAAGTATTGTATACATAAAGTGTTATACAGCATAGATTTAAAATTTCGGTTACGTAAATGTTTAAATTGAAGTATATGTAACTCGTATTATACTAACCGCGTGTTCCGGTAGCGGTAGCTTTCCAAAATTGCAGCCGCCATTTTAAGAACGTCAACCTTGTGGCCTTTTGTTCATACGATCAGCATTTTACGGCGCTTAAGCGCTTCCCCGCGGTCTTGCTATTAGTTATTGCATACTAAATATATTAATAAATGTGAACGCTTGGTTGTTGTATGTAGACGTCGATGAAAAATTGCGTGATTTGAGCAAAATCGATCTTGTCCGCAAACGCTAATGGCGGCGACGTCTGCCTCCACCCCGACTTGATTTTTTTAATTTTTTTTTTATTCTGTCTTTTTACATGTCGCATTGCAGCATTAGTTAACTGCAGTTATCTGTAACGATGTCTTGAATTGGGGATAATTCAATAATGTTATTAATGACTATTCCCCACATGTTTATTGTGCAGGTCCCACGTGAGCCGGAACAGCTCCGTAAGCTGTTCATCGGAGGCCTGAGCTTCGAGACGACAGACGAAAGCCTGAGAGCTCATTTTGAACAATGGGGGTCTCTAACAGACTGCGTGGTAAGTGTGATCCTTTGATATGAATTCGTAAAGATGAACGATTTTATTCCGGTTTTGGATTTAGTTTAAAATCAGCATTTCTGACTTCAGGTCATGAGGGATCCGAACAGCAAGAGATCCAGGGGTTTTGGCTTTGTAACTTATTCATCTGTACAAGAAGTTGATGCTGCCATGTTGGCTCGTCCTCATAAGGTGGATGGAAGAGTGGTAGAACCTAAACGAGCAGTTTCCAGAGAGGTATATTATTTTTGGTTACACAATTCCATTTTATGTTTAGGACACGTATTTGACGTACTTGTTTCCATTTTATAATATAAATACATTCATTCATTGATTCTTTACTCAGGACTCAAACCGCCCAGGTGCACACATAACAGTAAAGAAGATTTTTGTTGGAGGCATCAAAGAAGATACAGAAGAATCCCATCTGAGGGATTACTTCCAGCAGTTTGGTAAAATTGAGGTCATTGACATCATGACTGACCGTAACACTGGAAAGAAGAGGGGATTTGCTTTTGTCACCTTTGATGACCATGATGCAGTTGATAGGATTGTCAGTAAGTATAGATGTATTTCCCATTGCAGGTTTGTTAAACTGAGTGTTAATGCAGTACTTGACCTTCGTTCTCCCTCCTCCAATTTTGTAGTCCAGAAATACCACACAATCAACTCTCACAACTGTGAAGTGAGAAAGGCCCTCACCAAACAGGAAATGCAAAGTGTAGGCATGGGAATGAGAGGGAGCCGGAGCAGCAGCAGCGGCAGCAGTGGGGGAAGGCCTTATGATTATGACAGAGGCTTCAATCAAGGTTAGACTTTATTTAATCATATATAAAATATTAGAGTGTGCTAAATCCAGTGTTTTGAGTTTTGCTTTTATTTTCATCAGGAGGAGGAGGCGGTGGTGGTGGCGGCGGCAGAGGAGGAGGAGGAGGAAGATATGGAGATGGTCCTTACAATAACAATGGAGGTGATGGTGGTAAGTAAAAATAAATTCATTTTTCTTCATTGTGTGTTCATTTGTAGTTTGTTCTAAGACCGTTTTTATGTTTTTAGGTTATGGAGGTGGTCCGGGAGGTCCTGGTGGCTACAACCAAGGTGGCAACCGTGGTTATAACCAGGGTTACAACCAGGGAGGCGGCGGCGGAGGAGGAGGAGGAGGCGGCGGCGGCTATGGAGGAAATGGTTATGACAGCAACGGTTACGGTAAAGATTCTAGCATTTGTCATAGCGTAACATGTTTTATGGTGATGCGGTAAAACGGGTATAATTTATTTAAAAAAAAAAATTTCAGGCAACTGCGGTGGTGGTGGCGGCGGTGGCAATAACTACAACAACATGGGCCATTACGACTCCCAGGCCTCCAACTTTGGTCCAATGAAGAGTAACTTCGGTGGTGGTGGTGGCGGCGGCAGTGGTGGTGGTGGCAGGAGCTTCGGTAAGTATTTAGACAAAGATGACGCATTTATGTTTACTGTTGTTTTTTATGATCAGTGGAGGTTAATTTAATGTCTCCTTCAGGTGGCTATGGAGGAGGCTCAAACAATCCCGGTGGTTATGGCCGTCCAGGACGATTTTAAGTGGTGAGCATCGATTGGTGTCCCTCTGCTCATATTTAGCATTGTAAAACCAGAGTTTTTGTCATTGTAGGGATTCACTGCAGTATGGATAACTTTCAACAAATTCACTCTGGATGTCAGGTCTTACAAAGTCAGTGCACAGTTAACAATGTTGTTCCATATTGTTCAACAGGACTGAGTACTTAGGAGAGGAGAGCAAGGAGAGGAGAGCAAGCGAAGTGACAGGGCAGCTGCAGGTTTACCTCCTAAATCTGCTCAGCCAAACAGTTGTGACAGGTTACAGCTGCTACAAGAAGAGATGTACAGTAGATAAATCATGGAGGGCCTTCATTTAAAATTTTGTCTTGTTTTTGTTTTGTTTTTTTCATCTAATGTGTTACTGGAACGCAAGCATTCCAACGAGGGATTTTATGTTTATCTTTGAGTCTGGTTTTTATTTGTAACTGCTTCAAATCAATCTGAAATAAAACATCTTTCAGTTTTTTTAAAACCTTGTTAGACTCTTTAGTGATTTGGGTAAGGGAGGGTTTATTACTAGATGCTGATGCTTTTTAAAAAAAAAAAAAAAAAAACCCCAAGGTTAAATAAGGGATAAAAAGTTCATTTCCCAGAAACTACAGTACTTGGAAGAGAGCAAAGTGGTGTGCAAATAACTATCATCACAAAGAACTCGTCACTTGATTCAGACCCTACAAAGATCACCTGGAGGATGCTAGCTTACATGCAAAGTCTAAGGCTAGCCATGGAAGCGAGCTGAGGGAGAGAAGTAGCAAAACCATCGCCAGGATCATTGAAGCAGGGGAGAGTGAGAACAGAGGCCTGAGGCTAGCTAACAGCAGCTACCAAAAGGCTAAAATGCTGTCTGTAGGTAAGACCAGACTTCTCAACTACTGATAGTAAATATTTTGTCTTGTAGCTGGTAGTGAAGATATTAAGACAGTAATGATATAAATGGACAAAAGTTTGCACTTAATGTTGGTGGTAAAATGGGCCTCTGCTTGTGCAAAGAGGTTGAACTTGTGTTGCATGCATTGATAATAAATTTAAGAAACTATTGTTTGGTACATTTTTAGTTATGTTGTGCTTCTGCCTTCCAGGTAACTTGAAGAGCTCTGGAGTCTGACTTCATTTCTGTGACAATGGATCAGTCAGGTATAAAATAAATTCACATTTTCCTCTTGTTTTATTGAATCTAATGTTCATTTCCCTCCCGCCCACAGGTTAACAGGACATCTTGTATATGCCAAAGCATATTTTTTTTACACAAATGGAGGCTGCAGTGCAGTGATTTTTTTAAACGTATTTTTTTAATAAAGTATTTTAAATAAAATGGGTGGTTTCAATCAATTTTTAAGAGCATGTTCAAAACCAGATCTGGATAACTGACACGATCAAGTTGTTTCTGGAGTACTTAAAAGTTCAGCACTGATCACTCTTCTCCATTGAACGAGGTACCAGATAAATTCTTCCATCAGGCGTTTGTTGTAGAGAATATTCATCTTTCGAGTAAGGCTGTCCGTCCTCGTCTCGCAAGTGAGAAAATACTTCCTTGTAAAGGTCTGTCAGGCGGCATTTCATAAAAGCCGAGCTACGCTGGAACCCGTGCCGTTCCTGTAATAGGTGGTCTCGCTGGACCTGCAGGTGGTTCAGTTCTCTTTCGAGGTGAACTATGCTCTCCAGCTTCCTCTTCCTGCAGTTCTGAGCTGCCACCTTGTTCTTTCCTCTCCGTCGAATATCTCTAACCAGTGCAAGTTGTTTTTCCGTCAAAGTGTACTGTGTCAGCAGCTCGTTGAAGTCGTCCACGGGTAGATTGATGATCTTTTCCATGGGGAAGGGGATCTTCAAAGCCATGGCCCTCCTTTCATCCCTGCTCAGAGGAGCACGAGTAGAAATGCCCACTTGTGGCTTGGGGAACATATTGCAGTGCAGTGAGCTCCCTCTGCTGGTCATATCTTCATAAAAGGAAGTCACTGCTATACCTGGTTTTATTGACCTTGAGGTCATACCACAAGGTTGTGAGAGCAATAAGCTTGACTGAGGTAAATAAGATGAATGTCCACCTGAGTGTGAATATGAGTGGGCTTTGGTCTGATAGTCCATTGGGTAATTGATAGAAGCCCTATTGGTATGCTCAGTCATACCACCTGACTCGCAATCCCTGTATGTTGAACCAATGTCTATGTAACCTGGTGCACCTCCAACTGGGTTGTCAGGGGAAGCCAAAGGTGGACTGGATCCCAGTGAGAGGCCAGAGTCAGACTCCAGATCATCAGCGGAGTGAACGGGCGCACTTTGTCCGAGCGCAGTCCACTGCACGTGCCGGCCCAGACCCTGAGAGAGGCAGCTGCTGGGCCTCCTGTGCCCAAGACTGGAATCTGACATGTTCATGAGAGACGGCTGCGTGTGAGAAGAAATGGGAAACATTCGTTGATCCAGATGAGGCTCAGGGTTTCCGTATGTGGCTTCTGTGTTGCCCACATGATGGCAGGCGGGCATCTCTTCAGAGTAACATTCTTCATAAGTGTTGGCCGCGCTCAGTTCACAAGCAGCAGGGAGATGTTCAGGATGAGGCTGAACCATCCCATACTCCCCAGCAGGGGCCATCAGCTGCATGTTCTGGTACTGAGCTGGTTCATAGGAGCCATCACCTGGGACTCTAAACTCCTGCAACAAAAGGACCACATGATTGATGAGCAGAAATATAAAATCACACTAATGTTTGATTAATACTAAAATGGATACGTTTATTCAACCTTTGCTGCACTTCAGTCTGCTATAAAATTCTTACAAAGTACATGAAATGTAGAGAATTTGTCTCGTTTTGCAACAGATTAATTAGAAAATGGGTAGTTAATTTCCCTGTTTGATTTTATTTTTAATAGAGTAGTTGTGTTTAATATTGTAGCCGTGTAGTTATTTATTTGAAAATACCATTTGTTGTGTTTTCTTCCAACATTTGCTGTTTTCAGTGACACGGTCAGCCAAACAACCAGAAACACTTTCAGCTGAACTAAATTACAGACATGCTCATCAATGCTGCTCTAATACTTTGTGTGACTGTAGCCCGAAAAGTCACGCTCACATCGTCCACCAACAGATTTAAACAGCTCTGGCTTCACATCACGTTCCTTTTCAGGCTTCAAGAACTAAGATGAGACGAGGCTGAAGGTGATATTTTTCAGTGGACCGTTTTTGCGAACTTTAATAAACAAAACTTTGCAAAACTACTTCTGTAAATGCAGTTTTCCTTTAATGACATGACAGTTTTATAGACTTATAGTTTCATAAGAAAGTAGAAGGAAACAAGGTTTTGGGCTAATGTGTTTATTTTATTTTGCTGAACGAGTGCTGGAAACTGAATGCTGTACTTTCAAGTTTCAAAATCTAACAGCAATATGACCTTTGTGATAGTGTTTTATATACTGTATATGTTTTGTTACCATATTTTAAAATGAATAGTTACTGTAAAACTACTTATTCATTGGTATAACTACCAATAAATAAAATGGACCCCAGGAAAATTGTTACGACAATGGCTAATGGGGGTCCAAATAAATAAATAAATACTTCCATTTAATGAACACGATTTGGCCCATGTAACTTTACTAATTAAAAACATTTTGTGTTGCACAAACAGAAAAAAAAAAGTCTTCTTAAAACATTTTATGGTGCCTGAAAGACATTAAAATCAAGTCACCGAGGTATTTTTTTCTGTTTAATGTTCAGTGACCTGTTTGAAATGGATAATATTAAAATTATAATAGCATTTTCAGTAGAATCATTTGCAACTCTCATAATATTAGCTTATAATTTAAAACCAATACATAAATGTAGAAATCGTTTTTGTAGAAGTAGTTTACCTGCAGCTCAGTGATGGCCATCAACTCCTGCCACGCCACATCCATGTCTGTGTCCTGTGGAGCCCCATGAGGCCTGATCCCAGGGAAGTTAGCTTGGACCGACACCCCTCCACACAGCCTGCCAGGTGTCGACACTACCTTGGAGTGGACAAAACAAACCATTTCAAGCACTAACATCGAAAACAGACATTCATATTATAGACTTGTGCTGAGGCTTCTCTTTTATCCCCCCTCCTTATGGACCTACCTCACAGGTTCTCCTCAAAGGGAGAACACAGTTGGCTGTTGAACACATTCAGGAGAGATGTTTGCTTCAAAAAGTCAACCTGGTGGAGACATAGAAAGTCCTGTCACTAACATACCTTAATCCTCATATGTTTAGACAAATCATTAAAATACCTTTACACACATCTCTAGAAAATGGAACGTCTTTTGAGTTACTGGAGCTAAATAGATGATTGTATGGGTGATGCCAAAGTTCTTTTGGAGCTCAGAAAAGGTTTACTTCAGTTGAGCTGACTCCTCCCATCAGCTGTTCCAGGGTGCAGCTATGCCAAGCCCTGATAAGACAATCTGCGGGAAAACAGCATGCTCTAAAAGACACACTGAGGACAGATGACTGTTTGGGAAATTTAGGCTCTCAAGCTTACTAAGTTTATTTAACTCAACCACACAGCTCTGAGGTTTGATTCTATTTAGCTTGTTCACTTTTTTCATTTAGAAGTCCAGTTGTTATAAATCAGTTGTATATTGTGAATGTCCACCCACTGACGTGTGCAGAAACAAAAGCACTCATGCATGCTGCTGAATTCTAACTTGAATTTAAAATATTTGTTGTTTATTTAGTGATCATTTTTAATAAATAATTTGTTTTTAATTTTTTTTAAAAAAGCATGACTGTTCTTGTGTGAATTCAGTATTTATCAAACCTGACCTGAATGTATATTCATCAAGCAAAACCTGCACTGATACAATCTGTATCTGTGCTCCGTTAATTTATTAACAAGCACAACCTGGGATTGTTGGGCACTTCTCAAGCTGAGATATTTAAAATTTTTTAAAGTAAAAGTTTACGTTAACCCTTAAAGGCCAAAGACCAGTTCAGTTTTCTGAACTGTAACTTGTTGGAAGACCTATATATAATATAGATTGGAAAAGTGCGCAAATTGGAAAAGTGTGCAACTTTATTTTATTTATTTATTTATTTTGAGGAAAATTTTGGTTTATGCCATTATAAGACGTTTGGTTTGTCTGCTAATCCTTAATTTACGGGCAATAATAAACCTGTTAGAATAGTTATTTCAAATCAAACGTGTCACTTTTAATATTTTCTATATGCAACACAGATTTCAATAAGATTTTATTCATTTCGTTCAATATTTTTGATGATCATTGTTTCAAGTCCAACCTCATTGTTAACCGGTATAAGTTATATTCAGACTATCTGAACTTCTTCATTTAGAAAAAATACAACAAAAAAGTTTTCAAGCGCAAACCTCTCAGCATCATTTTTAATTAAAACGAAATGTATCACTAAACATGAAAAAGAGGGACAAAAATAAACCTACCTGAATAACATCATCATCTTCAAGATGTGATGAGGACAATACAAAAAGTGAAGCACCAGTCCTGGTGAGAAAAACAATACACCAAGAAAAACTCAAAGATGTTGTAAGGCGTTCCACATGGGGCCTCCTGGTCTGTCTCTAATTCAGCTGCAGGTCTCGTACTGTAAGACACAACCCTCAGCCACCAGAATAAATGGGATGGCCCTGCAACCTTCCTGTAAAGCACCCACACAAACTTTTTTTTTCTTGTTTCTTCTTTGCACTTTTGTATCCTTAATAGCACACTTGCACCCCAACCTCCAAATTTCCCTTTTGCCCTCACGACAAACCACAAACCAACAGTCTGGCACAAACCACAGCAATCATCCTGTCGGTTCACAAGGAAGGTCGATGTGTACAGATCCTTACAAAATAAAGGTTATTTTGGCTCCTAATTTTGAAACATAGGTCTTAAAAAAATAGAATAAATATCTAAACGAGCCACATGGTTGTCTCTTCCCAAGCCAAATGGAACAAGAACAACGTCCTTTCGAATCCTCCAAACAACAAGGTATGAGGAGTGAGATGTGGAGCACCTGGAGTCAGCGCCAGCTTTGCAGTGAGGGCCCGGGTGGAGGCAGGATTGAGACTTGGTTTAGCAGAGATGGAATGTACACCCTCTGACAGGTAAGAAAGACTACATTGTTCTTCTATCTGGCAGAGCAACCACCAAAGTGAGATAGAGGAGCAGGGGGAAGAATGAAGGGGAGCGTGTCTCACATAGCAAGTGAGCATTAAAACCCCTCCACTAAAAAAAATCCTTCATGTCGGCCTGAGCTGAAACTCTCAGAGAAGTTACCTCACATAGGTTGTGTGATTTGTTAAACTGTCCCATGTGCCACAGGTGCTTCAAAAACACTCTGCTTATTAATTATTTTATAAAATATCTCGTTTGTTTGCTTTGCAGCTTGAAAGGTGTTAGTGGCAGATGGTCTTATGGCAACACTGATCATTTGTGAACATTTAGAGCAAATGAAACATATAGCACCTTTGAAACCATAATGCATCTATTGTAAAATACAGGAAAGTTGGCTTTTCAAGCAGTTGTTGATTGTAATAAATAACTGGCTTAAAAGCTGCATTTGTTATTTAGCTTATAGCTCCAAAGGACTCAGACCCTGTGTTGGTTAGAATATCCAGAATGAATGGACCAAAAAAAGTGAATGTTTTCTTTTAATTATCCGCAAAATATTTGTTTTGTCATGTGTGAATTGAGCTAGATTATTAAACAACAAAAAAATCATTGTATCTCATGGTAACACTTGCATGACCAAAAATATGCATGTCAGGCTGCTTCAGACCCAGGCCTCCCTTGCAAAAGAAATCTGTGATCCCAATGGGATTTGCCTGGTTAAATAAAGGTTAATAATTATAATAACACTTGCATGAGTTAAGTTAATGTAAAATTGATAATTTTTAAAGAAAGCAACAATTTTCATATTTTGAGTTTGGTTCTGCAGAAAGGTTGCAAACATTTATTCTACATCTTCTAGATACTTCTTTGAATGGTCTCAATTTGGAGAAATATATATTTTTATGTTTTTATTGATGAGGTAAAGGCTATATATATGTCAAGAACAAAGTTTATTGCTTTCATTTTAAAACAACTTGAAATTTCAAAGATTTCATTGCAGTTTATGTGAATGCCATTTCAATAACATTTGCACTTCTATGCAATTTTGCATCACATGCTTTTTACGAGGAATTTGGTGTCTTGTATAAAAAACATGCTAGCTATAGCTGTAACACTTCTTGTGGAAACTTAATATATCCGCCAAAATAATAACGTATTGTGAGTTTGATTAAATTATTTTAGATTTAACTTTTGCGGCACGATGGCTCAGTTGGTAGAGCTGTTGCATCTCAGTGAGAAGGTCGCCCGTACAAATCCCAGCCGGGGACCTTTCTGGGCGAAGTTTGCATGTTCTCTCCTTGCATGCGTCGGTTTACTTCAGTTACTCCGGTTTCCTCCCACAGAGCAAAAACATGCATGTTAGGCTGATAGATAACTCTAAATTGTCTCTAGGTGTGAGTGAGAGAATGGTTGTTTGTTTCATTCATCTCTATGTGGCCCTGTGATGGACTGGAGACCTGTCTAGGGTGTCCCCTGCCTCTCACACAGTGATGGCTGGACATGGGCACCAGTGACCCCCGTGACCTAAAAAGAAAGAAGTGGGTAAAGATAATGGATGGATTAAACTTTATTAATCTTTTTTTCAAGAAAATTAAAAATGTGATGGTGATGTGAAAGTTTTTAAAATAGTATTTGCAATTTTTTAAATCATTTTAAAACAACCACAATATTATTTGGTCTTACCCTATTCAGTCAAGCTATTAGCTTATCAATTTGATCAAAATTATACTCTATTTACTATTTACTATGTATTTCTATTGGAGTCATTCAAAGAACTATCTAAACAGGTAAGACTTTAATTGTTCATAACTTTTCCACAGTACCCCGCTTTAAAAGATTTGAACCTGTCAGGTGTTTGTGGACGCTGACATCAACAGTTAAAAATATTAATAAGCACAGAATGTGTGACAATAAGGACATGCTTTGTGCTAAATGTTAACTGAACTAAAACAAACATTTATGGCTCTAATTATTATGATAGATTTAAATCCATCCAGGAACTATTGCACTGAGACACACACCACAATGCTTTCACTGGTATTCTTTTCACATGGAAAAAGTAGGTGGCGGACAATGTCAAGAAAGGTGAATGTCTATACCAGGAATCAAAGCAGGGACTTCCCAACTTGAGTTCCTAGCACCCAGCCCCTGACTCAACCAATGCCACAACATGCCAAAGAGCAGCCTGTTATTACTGCAACCACAGCAGTTTCAAATTTTGTTTCCAAATCTGGACACAGTTCGCAGGTCAACGCCCACATTCCCAGTTTTTTGTTTGTTTGCTTCAATTAGTCTTTGACATCTCTACTTTTCCAGCCTGCCTGAAGTTCACAGGTCTGCCGTAGTTTAGTTCTCGTGCACCTCGGGGCTGAGAGCAAACATGTTGGTCTGTAACTACCCACAGTTGACTCACGCAGGCCTAAAGTCTCCTAATGAGCTCAGACTCTCATACAAGTTAGTGTTAAATCTGACCCCAAACCACTGCTAAAACAATATTTTCCTCATTTATATGTGATGGTACATTTCCATATGCATTTATTAAGCTTTTGAAAGATTGACAGATTGTGGTAGGTTAGGCTTTAGCAAGGAGAAGACTAACTTTATCAAGCTTGAGTAGAAAACCCCCACTACCAAACAAAATGAGCTCATTCAGAGGGTTGTGGTGACATAAAGGGATTATTTATTCAATTATTTGGAGTTAGCTTCTGGGAAAAGATAAAAAAAGGATAGTTAATTATTTCCTTCAATAGCAGCCTTATCTTCTAAAAATATAAAGAAGAATACTTTTATTTTATTCAGGTTTGCAACCATAATAAATAAAAAAAAACGTTTTGTAACTGTATGGAAATAAAAACAATAAGATGTGCAGAAATTATTGTTTTACATTAACTAAAGACATTTACGAAGAGGAGAGATAGGATTCACAAATAATATTTGTATGGTTTCTTCAAACATCGTGCAGCGTTTGTCATGATGGTCACACGCTGCATTGATCTGGAGGTAACGAAAATGAGGAACCTGAACATGCTTCATCATTCTAATGAATATCTCACAAGGACCTGCGCTTATCTTAAGATGTGCAGATTACGCTAAAGTTTTGCAACTGTAGATTGCGTGGCTGGATTATTTTTTTTTTTTGACGTCTTATATTTGTCGATTCCGGTCAGTTTTTGTAATGCACAATTAAATAATAAACAATGCATTAGGTGAATGAAATTACTATGAAAATGACACAAAAAAACACGTTTTTTTTAATTGCCTAACGCTTTGTGAATGTTTTGTGGTGTGTGTATACATGTGGCCCACATGCTCAAGGCACGCGAAGGCTCGTGGGTAATGCAGACACAGAGAGGGAAGGCAGGGAAAGGAGGATGTTGGTTGGCGGAAGCTCTGCTTAGTACTGATAAAAAGAACCCTTGGTTCTTAGGAAGGGAACTGGTAACTGCTGTGGTTGCTGCATAAGCTGCAACCGAGGGGCTAGCTCAAATTTTAACACTTAACTTTAGTTTAGGTTCATATTTAAAGTATCTACTATATTTAATGAAAGTGAACAAAAGCTCCACAAGAAATAAAAATAACCTGGCATCAGTAATTTAACAGTATTCTCATATCATGCTTTAGGGATCTTATTTTGTATAAAAAATAGGTACTAGTAGAACTTCTTTACAACAAGCCATTCTAAATCATTGCTTCTCTGTATGGTTATAATTTCCATTTAGCATCCAGCAAATTAAATCTTCATTATCCATGTTTTTTGGTCAATTATCATCCTTTCTATTAAATGGTAAATGACCTGTACTTATATGCAGTAGCACCTTTCTATCTTAAGATACTCAAAGCGCTTTACAACACAATCTGTGCCCTCTTTTACTCATTCATTAGGCACTCTACTAGATCTATACAAAGAATAATCAGTGCTTTTTCATACACTGATGGAACACACATCGGAGGCAAAGAGGGGTTCACTGTCTTGCCCAGGGATACTTTAGCATGTGACTGCTGGTGGAGTCGAACCCCCAGCTCTTGCACTGGAGGATGTCTGCTCTAACCACTCAGCCACAGCTGTCCCATTTAGTCCCCTATTAGTCGTTGTTTTCCCTGTAAAGTCAAATTTATGATTGAAATATTTGATTTGATCTGAGGATCTTTTAACTTGAGCAAGTTCAGTGCAGCGCACGGTTTCCTCCCTTGTACAGGGCGATTTTGAAATTGTAGCGGCTGAATTGTGTAAACTTAGTGTAGTATTGCAACATTTCAAAGTCCTACCACAATCTGGTTATAAATGTATGTTGAATAGGTTTGTATCTCTTCATTAAACTTCCTCTACAGATAAATCATTTTAGCATTTTCTTTCCAGCAATATTTGTAACTCAAGACCAAAAGGATCTAACGGTAAGTGAAGTAATTCATGGACATGGACTGAGATAGAGGGAAATCCCCCACCAGCCTGCTTTCCCAAATGTTTCCCAGAAGTGGGAAGAAAGATAATTGGAGGTGGTTAAATGTGGGAGGATCCTGAAAAAAAGATGCTGATGAGGACTACTAAAAAGGATCGTAAATGGAGTGATTTCTGGTTTGATGTCCTCCAAACAATGTGTGTCACAGAACTTTACTAACAAGTTGAATACATTCATACAGAAAGTTTTTGGTTTGCCCGTGTTCTCAAACATAATAATGTAATGCAAGCTAAGGCTGTAAGCAACAATAAAGGGGAGTTACAGAATTGGAGTACGTAGAGAACGTTTTGTAGATGAGGACAAAACTATGATTTTCTCACTTGAATTGTTAAATTCTCAATAAATAGTACATCACATGTGTTTTGCAATCATGCATTATTTTGTAACTTTCTTAAATTTTTTATTAAATGTTCTGTATATTATGCATACATTACAGAGGAAAATAACATTTAAGTTAGGTAAAAAGAAGTAAGCATGCTCAATCATCCAGGTATCACAAACACACTTAAGATGTCATCTGTCATGTCATCTGGATAGATTCTTCTTCTTTCTTTTTTATTTTTATTTCATCCAAGAAGATTCTGTCCAGATGACATGATTTAACTTTTTAATGTAGAAAAGATACATTTGAACAGAACATGCTAATATATATTTTTTTAATTCCCATGTGAAGGCCAACTTTATCAAATGTTACTAATCCAATTCTGTAAAACCTCCCATAACCCTTAAAGCCCTTATTGGATGACCAAATTGAAGTTTGATCTTCTGTCATTGGAAAGGTATGAATAATTTTAGAATTAACACTTTCTTTTTAAGCTTAGGTCAAAATGAAAGTTAAATATATTCAGTTGTTACTTTTATGAACAAGTAAATACATTATAAGTAAATTGCTTAAACCGTTTTCTTTTTAAAGAAGATGGGAAATGTATTGCGATTAGAAATTTAAAACTTTGTACATGTAAACTTGTAAACACTAAATAAGTACACTAGCATGCTATTTCGTAAGACTTTTAAACATGGACCTTTGCTCTTTATGTACCAGCGTTGCCAGATTTACAATATATATCCACATTCAACTCATACGATGATTTCGATAAAAAATACAGACCAATTCAAAGTGACTGTGCGATAATTCGTTCTTTCCTATTTGGCAACTTTATTACGTACAACATGAGGCGCTATCAGCCAATAGGAAAGAGCCTTATTGACGGACTGTACAGTAGTGTTAGCTTAGTTAGAGCTGGTTTGCGAACAACATAGAATATGGATTCTCCTATACTGGTAATATTATCTCAGTTATCTATTCGTTACAGTTATTGAAAGGCAAAACTTGTTATCACAATATATATTAAGATTTACTTGAATATTCGCGAAACATTGTTATTTTTCTTAGTTGCCGGAGTAACTGAAGCTAACTGTTAGCTAACTTGTTAGCATGGGTGAAGTCTCCGAATGTTTGCTGCTGATGTGGAAGTGTCATGTCTTCCGTACTACAGGACGAACATTGTTATATACAGTTTCCAGTTTTGTGTTACTTTTCGTAACCGATATTGATGCATTATTGTCGTCTTCATTCACTCATCTCGGGGCCTACAACACCCCCTGTCAATTTTATTAGCACACAGCACAGTTCTTTGTTTGATGTTCGTGATATTTTATTTCTTATCAGTTGATGATTAAATATAATGCACATTGTATTGCTGTCTACGCAGGAACCCTCCTTATACACTGTCAAAGCTATTCTAATTTTGGACAATGATGGAGACAGGCTTTATGCCAAGGTAAAGGTTTTATAAGCAAATATCATATATGATCAGCATTCCTGTTCCTGAAGCATAAATAACTCTGCCTCTTCAATGGATATTAACTATAGTTTATTATTACTTTTGGTAAATGTAATATATTATCTTGATAAAAGCGTGAAAATAAGTGTGAAACCAAAAATGATGAGATGATGACACCAAAAGCACACATTTACCTTACTGTTTAAATTATACCTTTAATATCAAATATAAAGGCTTGATTCAGTGAGTTAATGTTGCATTGCAGCAAAATACACAAGAAAAAAAAAAGATTATTTTTGTATTATTTATTAGAATAGTTCACTATAAATTACTGTGTTTCAAACTAAAGTAGAATTACACTATGACATCTTGTGTCTTTTATGCTGACTACATTTATTTTTGTTTTTATGATGTGTGTTTTAATTGAATCTATAATGTACAAAACTGAGGATAAAACAATCCAGAAAGATTTTCTCTTTAGCATCATTCAAGTGCAAACCTAATATGGCATAAAATAACTATAAAACATCTAAATTTGTGCAAAACATTTACGTTTGCAGAATGCACACAAAACATAAGCAGTTTTTGCTACTGTTTTTCCAAATTAAGATGTTTAGAAATTGAAAAACATTTGTATCCGTTACCTGCACTACTTATTTTATTTCAGAAATGTGCTGTGTGAACATAAACGTTAAATAAGTTTTAAAGGTTAGTGATTAAAGTCTGCAAATTTATTTAATAACTAACTATGGTAGTGTTAATTGTAAATTAACCTTTTGATTATTAGATATTTTTTAATAATGGCTTATTTGAAAAAAAAAAATCCAGTTAAATGATAAAATTCTTTCGACACCTAGTTTGAAATACACTTGCTTGTACAGTCAGAATACAACGGCTTTACGCCGCAGAACTACCAGGAAGTTAGAAAGTATTATGACAGTGACTTAGCTTTATTTCCTTTTTTCAAGAAAGTTAAACAGTTCATTATCTTTAACCTTGGCTAAAATAAACAGTTCTTATATTTTTAATTGCATATTTATAATTCAAAATATTAACTATTTTAATGCACCAACAGTATTATGATGACACCTACCCTACAGTGAAGGAGCAGAAGGCGTTCGAAAAGAATATATTCAACAAAACGCACAGGACTGACAGTAAGTACCGTAATGATCAGCATATTAAGGACTAATAATGTGGATCAGTTTACTTACAAGTTAATTTTTTATGTTTTTATTTTTTCTACATTTTGTTTAGGTGAGATCGCATTACTGGAAGGCTTGACTGTTGTCTACAAGAGCAATATAGATCTTTTCTTTTATGTGATTGGAAGTTCACATGAAAATGAGGTAAATAGGGTCATTTTAGAATTTTGCAAAAAAAAACATTGTGAAGTGAACATTAAAACACAAGTGCTTAAAGATGAGCAGAATCTCGAGAGAAAATTCAGTATCCCACTTTTATTTAGTCTGCTGTGCTCCTTTTTAGAGAAACAGGTGTGACAGTTTAAATTGTTGGAGGTGAAAGAGCAAATTCTACTTTTGAATATGTGTCTTCTGCTTATTCTGAAATGCTAAAAACTTCAGTTTATTTAGTCTCTTTAAAAAAAAATCTAATTTTATGTTTTTTGTTCTTTAGCTATTTTGCAATTTATTGTTAATTTTATTCATTATCATTCAAATGTTTTCATAGTATCATAATTCCTCAGATTTAATGGACTTACTTATATAACGCTTTTCTATCTTATTGAGACACTCAAAGCTCTTTACAACACAATCTGTGCCCTCATTTACCTGTTCATACAGCACTCTACTAGATCTCTACAAAGACTAATCAGAGCTTTATCACATTCATACACCGATGGGACACACATCAGAGGCATTTAGGGGTTCAGTGTCTTGCCCAGGGACACTGCGGCATGTGACTGCTGGTGGAATCAAACCCCCAACTCTCACAATGGAGGACGACTGCTCTAACCTCTCAGCCACAGCCATCCCTTTAGTTTATTTATTTATATATATTTTTAGTTCAGAATAGTTAGACTTTTAGTTTAGTTTAGAATGATCAGTTCATTTAGTTTGTTTTAGGCTAACAGTCAAGTAAATACTAGGAAACATTATATTTAAATGTCATTATTGTAACAGTGTAGTGCACACAAACCTCATAAATCAAATCAGCATTACAAATTCCTTTAGTTTTTCTTAAGCGTACCAAAGATTTGATAATATAGTGATTCTGTCCTCAATGTATTTACACTATTTGGCAATTGTCTTTTTCAACTTGGGTATTATTTTTTTTATTTAAAACGTTGGGGGGGGGGGGGGGGGTTAATTTAAAATTTTTTAAAAATGGTAGCTAATAGTGATTTAAAAAATTACTAAACCAAACACGATGCTAGATTCTAATTTTAACGTTTCTTTTCTTTCCACAGCTTATGCTCATGGCTGTTCTGAACTGCCTTTTTGATTCCCTCAGTCAGATGTTGAGGTTTGCTTTGGCAGCAATTTTCAAGCAAAGAATAATAAAGCAAATAAAAAAATAGGACATTTAGAAGAGTAAGCTTGAGATTATAGCTGACGTTTTTCCATTTTTGTTTTTGAAGGAAAAATGTTGAGAGGAGAGCCTTGTTGGAGAACATGGAGGGACTCTTCTTGGCTGTGGATGAAATAGTGGATGGAGGGTAAGTCAGAGTTTGTCATTATGAACGTTCTCGTTCTGAATTCTTCTGGTTCTTTTTGTTAATTGTCGATGGGACATTTTGTGCCTCCAACAGGGTGATCTTAGAGAGTGACCCTCAGCAAGTTGTTCATCGAGTGGCCCTCAGAGTAAGCTCTTTTTGACATTTGTCCTCTCACAAATATTCAGTAAAGTTTAAAGGTGATGAGCTGCAAATACAATATACATTTTTTTTGTAGGGTGATGATGTACCTTTGACAGAACAGACAGTCACCCAGGTGAGTAAAGCATGTCTGTATTGATCCTCTGTCTACTATAAAGTGTAAAACATCCATTAGTATATTGACTGTTAAAAATTACTTGAGAATCTAAAAATACTACGGCACTGTCATTGCGTCATTTTCCTCGTCTACTTTGTCACTCGCCTTTGAGCTGTCAAATTTTGGGCTTTTTTTTTTTTATCTGTACAATGGTGTGCGTGATACTAATTATTTGGTGGTGAGGGAGTAGGTAGCCAACAGTATTCAGTCTTACAGTTTCTAAGCCTGTCTGTGTGCGTGAGTGAGAGAGCTGCTTGTGATTAATGTTGTCATTTAAGAGGTCTGAAAGTGCCTAACGCCATTCCTCCCATGGTCGTGATTAATGTCTGTGTCCAGTCTTCATGCTTTATGGTTATGATTTGGCTTTCACTCAGCGAATTAAGATGATTAATTAGGCCTTGAATATTTATCTTCCTTAATATGACGGTATTTTTTTTTTTGTCGAATTTGAGCAACTAATTGTAACTTTTGTAATTTCTACCAAGACTCATGTCACTTGCTTTTTAATTGAGCTCTGTATGAGGTACAGTACTTTGCAAACAAACAAAAAAAAAACAAACAAGACCCAATATTTTTTTGTTTTTTGCTTTCATGGAGCCAACTTTTCAGTTGATATTTGATCTTTCTGAAGGTCTTTCAACATTTTTCTTTGGATATTTTTCCATTTATTTTCTGTTCAGTCCTTACACCTGATTATGACTGGATACTGTGCAGTATGTGTTTAATGCTGCAAGATTAGCACTTGTCTGTGATTTTAGAATTAATGTTAACTTCATGCATCAAAGCATGTCATGGATGAAGGTCAATGGCAGACTAGTGTATAGCCTTATTTTCTTATTACATAATATTTGGATTTTACATCAACCTTTTGGCCTTTTCTCACAGCTATTACCCACCTTTAACAGACATGGTTTTAATTAGAGACTAGCCTCTGTTGTTACTTTTACACTACCTCTGCCCAGAACTAATGCCCTCAGAAAAACAGCTGTGTGCAGATCATACTGGAAGATGTTGTCTTCTGAATAAACATTGATTTTTGACCGTGTTAGTTTTCTAAAGAACATTACAACATTTATAATAATGAAATATTAAATTGAATAGGTAAGTCAATCTATGAGGGAAATGTGAACTGTGTTTTACTCCTTTTGACATGTTTTGGAATTATTGCAGTCAACAACTTGTTCTTTTGTCTTTTTTATGTGTGTCTTGGGTGTTGAGTTGGAATATTGTAATATTTGTGTGTTGTAATGCTTGTGGGTGTGGATTCCAAGATGGAATGATAAAAAGTAATGGAGATAAAACAAAACGATGAGGAAAGTGAACAAGTAGAGAACAGAAGATGTGGCAGGTTTAAAAGTAATGTTTAAAGCAGACAAACAGTGTTTGAATGTCATTTCTTTAGGAAACAGGTGAAAATTCATCAAACAATTCATCAGTTAAATGTTAAAAATGTTAAATTATTATTTTTAAATATGGATGTTTGTTAACTTATTTTATATATGAATATCTTTATTCAGTGCCCTGAGCCAACTTCTGTTGACTGGCGCTGTATAAATAAACTGAATTGAACTGAATCAGTTGATCATCTTAGGTTTCAGCTTTTAGGGCATCACTTTGTTGATAATATATTTCGTCTAACTATCTGCGGTATTTTCTTTTCTGTTTTTGTTTTTACAAATGTGGAAATTGTGTCTTTGACAGCATGTTGGTAACAAAGTGCCTAAAGATCAAATTTCATTTTGGTTATCTGCTAAATTGTTTGGTGTATGTCAACCCAAAACAGGTTCATCCTTTGAGTTTAAAAATAAATTTATAAATGGGATGCAAATGTGTGAAAAGCAGCCTAACTTCAAAGAAAAACTTTGACAGACCTTCAGAAAACCTGAATTATTGATCAAGACCACTTTAAAAATGGTAACAGTTTGACTCCTTCGAAGGAAAGTTTAGAAATGAGGAATGGCTCCAGAATAACGCGTTACTGTATGTTCTGTTTAGGGTTTAACTTCAACTGTAGCCATCATTTAAGTGTTATAACACCGTTTCTCCAGTGATCTGCCTAAACAAAGCCATTTCTTTTCACAGGTGCTTCAGTCTGCCAAAGAACAGATCAAGTGGTCGCTCCTACGATAGTCACCCTCGTGCCTGCTCATCAGTGAGTCACTGTTCAGAACAGACCACATGGCACTAATCCTCAAGCTTTTTCTCCTCCAACTTCCACCGTAGATGATGCTGTGAGAAGTACCTGTGATTGATCCAGTCACAGTTCAGGACTTATACTTAAAAAAAGTTTGATTTTCCATATTTTTATCTGCTCAGTCTCATGTATGATCAAAATGAAGATAAAATGTGTACATTCCACCAATGGATTGTATTTTTCTTTTCTCTTAAGAAGCTGATTTTTTTTTTTTATTATAACTGAGCATATGTCGATGTTTCACAGCATCTTCTCCTCTCACATCATTCCATGTATCTCCAGTAACGAAGTATCTTTTGAACAGCATGCTGTCATCTTCTCCTGATTACTGTAAAATAAAGCCACTTTGAATTTTCACGCATATTTTTATTGAAAATTATGCAATCAGTACTACGGTCATTGAGGAATGATTGAGTTTTTTTAAATTGATATATTTTTTAAGTATCAATCATATTTGCTAAAATCTGACCACTAATATTGAGCATAAGGAATGTGCGGATTTCGTTATTCATTATTTTGATCAATTTTTTCAGAAATATTAATCATGAATGAACCTTGAAAAATGTTGCAGTTTTGTGTGATTGTGGATTTTTTTTTTTACATAATTCTTGTAACTGACTGATAAAAGCCCTCATTTTTTTTGCCTTTTGTGGCCAAAGACCTCATTGAGGCTGACCAGTGCAAGGGCTCCACCTCCTGGTTCAATCCATAAAGTACAAGGCTGAGTTACATTTTCTCTTTAGATGAGATTATACTTGAGTATCTGCCTTGAATAGATAAACCATATATGATACTGAGTGTTGTGGCATGAAACGGTTTTAACCAGAAACACAACACATGTATTTCAAACGAGGACCTCTGGACATCATGGATCTGATGTGTCATGTATCCCAACTGTCCCACAGCTGCTTCACACACAGAATATAAATGGGGATATCCTTCAAAGAATTGAATTAAGGAATGGGCACCATGTTCCTGTGATGCTTGATGTATGTGACATTATAAATGCCCTATCTGCTCTTCAGCTATCGTGTTCACATTCTGATCTCTACCCTGTGATTCTTTTTTTTTTTCCTCATCAGATTTATGTTGTCACGGCAACAGACAGATTCAATCATGCACTGTTCCAGTTCACACCATGCACTCTTTGATTGCCCTTGCAGTGAACATGTTTTAATTAATGTGTGTGTGTAGCTATGTAGTATATACACATGTTAAAATGTGAATGTTTTACAATATTAGATAGAAACAAGATGATATTGAACTTATATAATCGCATCATGTTTAAAGTCTGTATGGAAGGAGAGGTAAACACACCGAGCATGTTGCTTAGAAATCCATGCATCAGAAACCTGAAAGAAGCATGCATGTGCATTTTTGCAAATGTACATTATTTTTCATTCATTCAACCTTTATACAAGTTAGTCTCAACTCATTTACAAGAGAGACCTATTTTAAACAAAGAACACAAATGAGGTAGACAATCAATTCAATTCAAAAATACTTTATTAATCCCAGAGGCAAATTAAATATATAAAAAGCATCTAAAATAAAAATTAAATATAAGTGATATAAAAACAAAACAAAAACTGCTATATTATAAACAATACAATTTTACAGTACAATTTTTGTAATCCCTTAATAAGCAATTATTCTGTCATGTTGCAACATGACCCGAGTTAAAAGGAGCTAAGCTGTTTGTAACCTCACAAATTGTATCGTCTGAGGCTTGTCACTCCCCCTCCCCCCAGCATCAGGTCTCTATATCCAGATAATTTGGCTGAAGACATCAAAATGACAAAAAAAGATTAAGTGAATCATTTTGATGTACAGATGTCTGCAGCCTGGGGGAGTTTGCGGAGAGAATCACCCACATTATAGTATATTGTTGGAAAGCAGAGAGCATATTCTAGCATTTCACCGCTCATTTGCTCCATTTAATATATTAAACCCCATCTACAGGCAAATAATGAAGTACATTTGTAAGAAACCTGTGTTGAAAATGTGATTCACAGTTCTGATATAGTGGCCAATACTCAGTTGTGTGTGTAACTGCAGTCACGGGAGAATGCATTCATCCTTTAGTTGAAAGGAAAGCAGCTTAAAATACTACGTTAGTTATTACAAAACAATGCATGTATTTCTGTTTGGTCACATAAGTTGACATTTTCATTTAAATCTGAAAGGTTTGGTCAGATTGCGCTGTGGGTTTTCATGGTTTTGGCTTTAAGTCTTCGACTCCTCTTTGTGTCCGCACATGACTGAAAGCTCAGATGCTGCTGCTGGTGTTTCTCTGCACAAAAAGCAATTAATTGTTAAACTAACGACCACAAACAGACTCTGTTCACCTGTTTACTGTTCTTGCACCAGTTTTCTGGTATAATGAGGGCAGCTTATGTTTTGGTGTGTGGTTTCAGTCAAAATGTGTGTGTGAGGGGAGAGGGTTAAAAAGGACAGGGCTGAAAAGCCGTAAATGTAATTAGAAGAAATCTCTAAGTGCACAGCAGGGAAGACAGGGTTAAAACTGAATCCCACCCAAGATGTCTGTCTGGACACTCACTTTTCATGTAGACAGCCCCGCAGCAGCATCGGCAGCTCAGTGACTTGCTGTCATCGTGTAATTACTGTTGCACCATCATAAAAAGCAGCCAGGTAATTTATATTAATTATACAAAATGAGTGCGATAGTTAGAAATGCCACGGCTTGACATACTGTACGTACCATGCAGTAAAATTGTCAGAGACGTGTGCGTTAGAGCCCTGTAATTGATCAATACATTCTGCCAAAGAGTTGCTCTCTTTCCATTGTGTGCGTATGTGTGTGTTGGCTGAGGTGGTGGTGGTGGTGGTGGTGGTGGGGGCTAATAAATTCTCATCATCTGTACGCTTACGGAGTCTTTATGTCATAGTCATTGGGCTTCAGTGCCCATTCAATAACTTGTCCAGCTAAACAGACACAACACAATGACAGCATGTTTTTATGGCACAGCAGCAGGTCCTGATAAACAAAACGCAAGACCCACATACCACAATCATGAGAACAAGACATAGTGTACATGCCTTTAAACTCAGGATTTTACTAACATTAGTATTTTTCTCTGGACCATGGACAGGTCTCCAATCAGGGACACATGAAGACAAACAACCATTCACTCTCTCACTCACACCTAGAGACAATTTAGAGTTACCAATCAGTCTTAACATGCATGTTTTTGGTCTGTGGGGGGAAACCGGAGTACCCGGAGAAAACTCATGCATGCACAGAGAGAACATGCAAACTCCACCCAGAAAAGTCCCCAGCCGAGATTTGATCCGACGACCTCGCTGCGAGGCAGCAGCAGCTTGGTTTACAAAATAAAACAAACCGCAATCATTTCGACACAGTCTCAGTGCTTTACGTTCACATTAACTGGGTTTTGATTTTCTTCCCAGCAGAGCTGTGGCTTTTCTCTTCCCATCCTTATACAGCCTAAATGTGGTGTTTAAAATGTAATATCTTACTATGGACTAATGGTAACTATTCAAAAACTTGGTGTTTACATGCCACAGTATTCTGGTTCTTGTCTGCTTGTAGTCAGCCCAAGTTCAGGCTTGATTCCGTTTCCTGGAAGCACAATAAGATGTTTATGTGCAACACGTTAACTACGACACTTCAAGAAACACCAACAATAACCAGGAGACGGCTGCAGATGTAAACATTTGGAAGTAGGTCATGAAAAGCTGCTGGAGGCGTGCACGTAGCTGCGAATGTGTGCACGCCAAGATGAGGAGAAATTCGCCCAGGCCTGCTCTCTTCTCCTCTCTGTGGCAGCCTGATGTGGTTTATGGCTCCAGTTGCCCTCTCTGGCTTTGTTTATGGATTCCCATAGAAAAAAGAATCATGGCCACTCTAAGGAAAGCCAGCCAAAAACAACACCTCCACCATTGCACTCTTGCCTGCCTTTGCCATAACTCAGCCCAGTATTTATGTCTCTGAGCACAAAAAGAAAAAAAAGTTTTCATAGTAATGACATAACATGACTGTAAATTCTGATGATAATGTTTAATTTTTTGTGTTGTTGTGAAATAAAAATGTCACCACGCGTGTGTGGTTTATAGGATGTCGTTACACGTAGGGGAGGAAAACAAGTGCGATTTGCTCTGGTTTCACAGAACCAGTTATTTCTTGATACCCGTTAAGATTTATCACATGAAAATGCTCAACTTTGATAGGATAATGAAAGCACGCCACCAGGGGACTCATTAGTCGAAGAAAAATTCCGCCTGATGGGTTTTTCTTGTGCTTTTCATCCCACAATTTTCCTGCACAAAACTATTTTTCTGAAAACAGTTTTTCAAAGAGTGATTAAAAACCTCTTAATATAAAAATGCCTTTTGCTGGTCATTATTTAAGGGATAGTTCAAATCTTTTAGAGTGGGTTGTGTGGAAAACTAATGAATAAATAACATCTTACCTGTTCTAGTTCTTTGAACAAGCTCACATTACATAAATCTAACGAGATTGATGAGCTAGTAGCTTCTGATAAAGGCCTAAAATGGATTATTGCTGTTGTAAGAACAACTCCAATCCCGAACATGCCATTATTAGCTCACAGGAAGTGCTACAGCTACTGCAGCTGTTTGTGTTTGCAAATAACCACACAATTTCATGCACATTAATGTAAAACTTGTGTTAGTGTAAAGATTTTTAAAAAAGAGCATTCTTTTTCTATGAAATAGTTGATTCTGAAGTTGTTTACCTTTATTGTCATTCACATCAAATGTAGTACTTGAGGTGGAATGAAATTGTGTACTCAAGTTTCCAGTTACCCCCCAAAATAACAAAGATAAAGTATAAAAGAGAGACAGTATACAAGGATCTAAGATATACACTATTATTCACTAATAATGTAAAATAATATGGTATATTCAACAGCAGCCCGAACATGAGTCAGTTTAGTGGCAAGAGATCAGCAGGATGGATAATCAGCAGCACGGATAAGTCACATATCACCAATTAAAGTGGCATTACAGTGATTTTTCCTTGTCCTTACAATGATTTTCCTGGTTAGAGATTCATGAGTCTAACAGCTTCAGGGTATAGCTGTTCCTCAGTCTAGTGGTTCTACACTTAATGCTCCTCAACCTTCTGTCTGAGGGGAGCGGGGCAACAAGTATGTGCTGGGTGAGTGGGGTCCTTCATGAAGCAGGTATTAATATGTCAGTTTGTCTTGCTCCCACTTAGACTAGCTGTTGTCAGTCCACTCAGGATCAATCAACAGATTCCTCCGTTCAACAGGTAAGTCATAATGCAATTGTTTTGAACATTTTATTTCTTTGTACAACTATAACTATACAAATTTAAATTTGTATGCA